AATACCATGTGACTTCATCTTTTGTATCAGTCTGCCATGAGGGATCTTTTCAAAGGCCTTGCTAAAATCCACATAGATAACATCCATCGCCCTGCCCTCATTGATCATCTTTGTCACTTCTCAAAAAACTCAATCAAGTTTGTAAGATGCGCCCTCTCTTGCATTGAGGTGATGCATTTTGGAAGTTCTGCTGTAGGAGGGAAGTGTACACTAAATGGAAGAACCCTTAGAAGCATTAACAGACAGAGGGATCTAAGCATATAGGTCCACAGTTCCCTGAAAGTGGCAACACAAGTGGATAAGGTGATCAGGAGGTGGACAGCATGCTTGCCTTTATTGATCAGGGCATAGCGTATAAAAAATAGCAAGTTGCAGCTGTATAGAACTTTAGTTAGGCCACATTTGGAATATTGCATACAGTTCTATTCACCACACGACCATAAGTTTATGGAGGCTTTGGAGAGGGTACAAAAAAAAAGGTTTCCAGGATATTACCTAGTTTAGAGGGTATTAGCTAGGAGGAGAGATTGGACAAACCTGATTTATTTTCAATTGAACATCAGAAGCTGAGGGACAAACCTGATAGAAGTTTACAAAATTATGAGAGGCTTGGATAGAATGGATAATCAAGTCTTTTTCCCTGTGAGCTGTCAATATGGGACATAGGTGTAAGGTAAAAAGGAAAAAGTTTAAAGGAGATGCAGAAGGCAATTTTTTTTTTATAAAGAGGCTGGTGAGTGCCTGGAATGCACTATCAGAGGATGTGGTAAAAGCAGGCACCATGTTTAAAAAGTATCTTGATAGATACATGAATAGGCAAGGAATAAATGTATATAGACCATGTAGAGGCAAAAGGTTTTTAGCTTAGAAACATTTCGTGTTGGCACAGGTTTTGTCAGCCTGTTGCTGTACTATACTGTTTTTTGTTCTTCAAACAAACAGCTCAAAATGGGAAGTGGGTTAATCAGTCCGTTGAAGAGATTTAAAAAAAAGACTTGGCAGCCAGAGTGTTACCCTAATTGCACTTGCACCAGTTCTACCCATGTTCCTTTGGATGATGCTATTTACAGAAAACAAAAGGAAGAGAAGCTGCAGAAAAGATGAAAATAAACGACGTAAAGAAAGCGATGTCTGTAAGGTTTTACTGTGCCTGTTGATATTAGCTTCGTGACTATACACTGAAGAATGTGCTCCGAATATATAATTTAACTGGGTGGTAGTCATTTATGTGTCAATTTCAATTGTGAAACATTCATCTTTCCACATGCTTCTAATGTCTGCTATCCAATAGGATAAGATTTGACCAGCCCAAACATTCTTTCTGTGGGTATTTTCTAGTATTTCACACCCACAAATCTGTTGTTGAACTTGGACAACTGTGTGATGCAAATCAAGTTTTATAACTTGAAACATAGTGAACTATTAACAGTTCAAACCAAGATGAGCTCTGGAGCAGTTCTGCTACCGTCTGGTAGTTTTGATGAAGATAGACGCAGCCTAACCTCTTCCTTCAGTGAGGATGCTTCTGAGTCCTTGTCTTTGCCTGCCAGGTTCAATGTTGAAGGTATAATATGAAGATATTACTGTTAGAAAGATTACCATATGCCATAATTCAGAATGCATGTCAATAATTGATCATTTATTAAAATTAATTTTTGGCACAATTATTTTCACTTGATTTGAAGTGTAAAATTAATAGTAAAATGTAATAAATGGCAGATATAAAATGGAAAGATCCATGATTTTGGTCCGTTATCGATGTCAAATTGGTTGCAATTTGTTTTCCTGCAAGTGCAAGTTACTACAGGTTGGACCTAAACCTATTGGCTAAACTTTTAATTATTAGGTTTTGCTTTATTTATGTCTGGTGAGGATTTGTTGTTAGAGAGGTGCTGTTGTGTTTGGGAGAAGGTCAGGAAATGATAAAAATAAATGAGGTTGGATAAAAAGACGTTTATTATCTGTACTGATTCTGTAATCGGGTGAATGCAAAAACATATGCTGTCATTTTCACTCATTGTGTTAGATTGCTCTGATTATCATAAACTATTGAAAGTAAAAATCCTTTTCTGAATCTTAAGAATATTTGGTGAAAGTTTCAAAATGGACTGTTTAATATTTTGAATCAAAATGCTTTAGTCATGCATCAATACATTTATTTTAATCCTCCTGATGCACAACTTGCATCTGAATGACTAGAATAGGATTTGTTTCATTGATGACTGATTAAGCTTTCAACCCTTTTTGCACTTGAAGAAAACTTAGACTTTTATTTTAATGCATGCTCTTTACTATTCCGGACAATTCCAATTTGTTCTTTCACTGTCCATTTCCATGTTCTCGGTACACAAAGAGAGAAAAGAAGAGTTAGCAAGTACATGTTTGAACATCTTCCAGTAGCCCAACTTGGAGATTCCTGTCAGAGGTCAAGACAATAATCTCTTAGGTGCATCCTGGAAAGTCGAGGCATAACATACTCTCAAACCTGTCCAATAACTGTCAAACATTGCTGTATTATGAAGCACCAGTGAAGAAAAGCCTTATATTGTGAATGTTCTAGAGGCAAATTTAATCCTATTTAATCAAAACTAATTTGTACTGTGGTTATTTCATGATCAAATAAAGATGCTGCTTTTTATTGAACATTTCGAAGTTAGCAATCAAGTATTTCAATGTGAAGTAATTCTTCATTTCTGGTCAAGTTTGCCTTCAGGTTTTCAAGGCTGATTTTCTCTCACTCCTGACACACAAGTCCACAACCTTACAGCAATTCTTTCTCCAGTCTTCCTAAGAAAGAGTGGTTTGATTCTGCGCCACAGTAATGATACATATCAATTTGAGAGTTGACACACTGCTTTCTGTTTAATGTTTGGACTTGGGCAAAAACTTTAGCTTTGCTCTTTATCTGAGAGAGTTTTCCTAATTTTGGATATTACCTACATTAAACAGAGTTTTATTTTCTTGTATGTCATGAAGGCATCTCTTGTATGAATCAGATAAACATTATACCAATTTAAATATGAGGTTAATGTTTCAACTTAGTTTGTAGAGTTTTATTTGAGTTTATAGGAACAGGAGTAGTCCAATTAGCCTGTCAAGTCTGCCACACCACTCAGTGTGATCATATCTTTTACCCTTCTCATCCCCATAACTATGTACATCGATAGTAATCAGAATTCTATCAATCTCAACCTTAAACAAACTCAGTCTTTGAGCACAGCCTGTGATACAGAATTCCAAAGGTTCACAATCCTCTGAGTTCAAAACAAATTCTCCTCATCTCGAATCTCAGCGGCTTTTTATTTTTTAAATTGTGTGCCCTGGTTCTGAAGAAGGGTCCCGACCCAAAACTTCGACTTTCCTGCTCCTCTGATACTGCCTGACTTACTGTGTTCCTTCAGTTCGACACTGTGTTGCCCTACTGCTAGACTCCCCGGTCTGGGGAAGCGTCTTTGCTGAATCTACCCTGTGTATCTTTTCAAGTATTTTGTGGGTTTCAGTGAAATCATCTTTCGTTCATCAATTTGTCCAATGTCTCTTCATATGACATTCCTGGAAGGGCAGAACTAAGTCTGGAGAATATTCAATGGTAGTAATACCTTTCCTGAGCTAAGGAAACCAAAATTGCACAATACTCCAGGTGCAGTCCAACCTAGCTCCTATGAAATTGAAACAAGACTACTTCTTCTGTCAAATCCTCTTGCAAAAGAGGCTAATGTTTGATTAGCCTTCCTAATAGCTTTCTGCATTGGAATGTTAACCTCCAGTGACCTATCGACAGTGACACTCAAATCACTTTGTTCATCTATGTTCTACAACTTCTTAGCATAAGAAATGCTTTGTGAATATGTTCCTCCTAGATAACCTGACATGTTTCCACAATATATTTCATTTGCTATGATTTTGCCCATTTAATAAGTCTGACCAAATCTTCTTGAAATGTCAGTACGTTTTCCTCACAGAAAACATTCCCACTTAGCTTTGTATCATTTACAAATTTAGAAATTTTACATTTGGTCCCCACATCCAAATCATTAATATATATTGTGAATGGCTGGGACCCGAGTAGTGATACTTTCGGTACCTCACAAGTCTCAAGTTTGCTAACCTGAGAATGACTCGGGTTGCTCATTTGTTCATATTCTGGTTTTTGTCTGTTAACCAATCATTAATCATGCCAGTACATTACATTCGATCATACACTTCATTTTTTCTAACTAGCCTGCTGTGGAGAACCTTATCAAAAGTCTTCTGAAAGTCTACTCTCTTTGATCAATATTGTTGGTAAAATCTTCAAGAAATCCAAGTTTATTGAACATGATTTCCCGTTTCAAAATCCAAGCCACTGTGCCCAATCAGATCATTATTGTTCAAGTATCTATTTATCACATCCTTCATAATAGATTTTAGCAATTTCCCTACTACAGATGAGAGGCAATTAGGTCTGTACTTCCCTCTTTTCTCGCTCACTTTCTTCCTAAATTGTGGACTGACATTTTCTACCTTCTAACCTTCAGGAATCATGCCAAATTCTAAGGAATGTTGGAAGATAAGCACCAGTGCATTGGCAATCTCAATAGCCACCCCTCTCAACACTCTGGGATTAAGTCGTGGGGATTTATCAACTTTCAGCCCCATTCATATCTCCAGTACAATCTACTAATACTAACTTTCTTTAATTCCTTATTCTCCATAGCCACTTTGGATCTCGAGTTTTGGGAGATTAGTTTTGGTTCTCCATGTCCTTCTCCTCAAAAAGTCCATTTGTGCTGCAAATCATTTACAGCACCCCTGTAAGGATGATTTAAAGCAGTGTGAATAGCCTGGGGCTCTTGACAGCAAGTATAGTACGTTCGGGCATAAAACTACTATTACGCTGAAAAGGTTTTCACCAGTTTTACCAAAATTGGAGTTTCCCTTAAAATATGTCTGCACTAAATTTTAATTAGTAGTTGCTGTATTTGTGTTGTGCTCACGGACATTCCCGTTTTCCTTTTCAGAAGTTTTGCACCGTCCATTTGGTTCTGACATTGATTCACAGACACTGAATGAAGCAGTGAGGTGGAGCTCAAAGGAAAACCTCTTGGGAGCCACTGAGAGTGATCCTAATCTATTTGTTGCACTTTATGACTTTGTTGCAAGTGGTGACAACACACTAAGCATTACAAAAGGTAAGCAGTGACATTTCTGGTTAATTTTTACATGAAGAACCACATCTTGTTCAATGAGTTTGCCATTGATGCAAGGGCAGTACATAGTATACAATAGGTAAAGCATCAATGAATGTCGGTTTGTGGCTAGTCTGAATCATTAGTTGATGCAACAACAGAAGCTTGCGTTTATGGACCTGCCTTAATGTAGTCAAAATATTTCATTGTATTTCACAGGCACAATTCTTGACAAAGTTGAATTCTAAGCTACATTGCAATATGAGTAGAGGTGACTGAGAGGTGACTCGGTCAAGTGCTAGGTTTGAAGGAGTCGCTTCAAGAGAAAGAGAGAGAAAGTTAAGGAAGAGATTTCTTGGACTCAGAACCCTATGTAACTGAAGGCGCAGACATCAATGATGGGTGATGAAAATCAGACATGTGATGGGTCAGAACTGAGAGTTCAGGAATCCTGTCGGGTTGGCGGGCAGAGGAGTTTAAAATCGTTGAGCAGGAGCGAGACCATGGAGGGATTTAAATACAGAATGAGTTTTAAAAAGAAATCAATATGTTGGCGAATGTTTTTGAGAATAAATATATGTTAACTACATACGTTCACTCTGCATTTCGATCAGAGGTCCATTTAACATTTTCCAGTTGTGATTTAGTGACCGGAAATGCTTATACACATGTATCTTTCAAATAATCTTAAACTAATTTCAATATGTATTTGAGAGTGCTGGTGATTTAGAAAAGACACTGGGAAGACGAATGTGGTAAAACAAGATAAGCCTTTGGGGCTTATTAGAGTGGTCAAGGAGATACCACTTGGCAGACTTGATAAGGGAGCTTAAGGTGAAGGAACATTTAGGAGGCAGTGATCATAATATGATTGAATTTTCTCTGCAATTTGAGCGGGAGAAGATTGAATTAGAGGTAATGGTATTACAGCTGAATAAAGGCAACTGCAAAGACATGACGGAGGAGCTGGGCTAAATTGACTGGGAGAGGAGCCTAACAGGAAAGCGTGGAACAGCAATGGCAGGAGCTGCTAGGAGTAATTCAGGAGACACAGCAAAAATTCATCCCTAGGGGAAAGAAGCATGGTACAGGGACTATGAGGCAACCGTGGCTGATAAGGGAAGTCAGGGACAACATAAAAGCAAAAGAGAAAGCATATAATGTAGTGAAAGGCAGTGGGAAACCAGAAGATTAGGAAGCTTACAAAGACCAACAGAAGGCAACAAAAAAATAAATAAGGAGGGAGAAGATTAAATATGAGGGTAAGCTAGGCAGTAATATAAAGGAGGACTGTAAGAGTTTCTTTAGATATATAAAGGACAAAAGTGGACTTTGGACCGCTGGAAAATGACGCTGGAGAGATAATAGGAAATGGCTGAGGAACTGAATAATTACTTTGCATCAGTTTTCATAGTGGAAGACTCGAGTAATATCCCAAAACTTCGAGAGAATCGGGTGCAGAGCTGAATATGATGGCCATCACCAAGGAGAAGTTGCTAGAAAAACTGATTGGTCTGAAGGGGTGGCGCGGTGGCTCAGTGGTTAGCACTGCTGCCTCATAGCGCCAGGGACCTGGGTTCAATTCCACCCAGGTGACTGTGTGGAGTTTGCACATTCTCCTCGTGTCTGTGTGGGTTTCCTCTGAGTGCTCTGGTTTCCTCCCACAATCCAAGGATGTGCAGGCTAGGTGGATTGTCCATGCTAAATTGCCCATAGTGTTCAGGGATGTGTAGATTAGGGGGATGGGTCTGGGTGGGATGCTCTGTGTGTTAGTGTGGACTTGTTGGGCCGAAGGGCCTGTTTCCACACTGTAGGGATTCTGTATTCTATGATCTTCTATGAGGGTGGATAAATCACCAGGACGAGTTGGACTACACCCCAGAGTTCTGAAGGAGACAGCTGAAGAGATAGTGGAGGCGTTAGTGGTGATCTTTCAGGAATCGCTAGAGTCAGGGAGGGTCCCAGAGGACTGGAAAATCACTAATGTGACACCCTTGTTTAAAAAGGGAGTAAGACAAAAGACTGAAAATTATAGGCCGATTAGCCTAACCTCGGTCATGGGTAAGATTTTAGAGTCCATTGTGAAGGATGAGATCGAGGAGAGCAAATGGATGTCATCCACCTGCACTTCAAGAAGGCCTTTGACAAGGTGCTGCACAGGAGGCTGCTGAGTAAGATAAGGGCCCACGGTGTTAGAGGCAAGGTGCTAGCATGGAAAGAAGATTGGGGTTAAAAGGGTCTTTCTCAGGATGGCAGCCGGTGACAAGCAGTGTTCCACAAAGGTCTGTGTTGGGACCACAAGTTTTCACTTTATACATTAATGATCTAGATGAAGGAAGTGAGGGCACTGTGGCGAAGTTTGCAGATGACACAAAGATAGGTCAAGGGACAGGTAGTATTGAGGATGCGGGAAGGCTGCAGAAGGATTTGGACGGGTTAGGAGATTGGGTAAAGAAGTGGCAGATGGAGTACAATGTGGAAAAATGTGAGGTCATACACTTTGGTAAGAAGAATAGAAGCATGAATTATTTTCTAAATGGGGAGAAAAATCAGAAGTCTGAAGTGTGGGAGTTCTCGTCCAGGATTCTCTCAAGGTAAACTATGGTTGAGTCAGTAGTTAGGAAGGCAAATGTAACTTTGGCATTTATTTTGAGAGGACTTGAATATAAAAGCAGGGATGTACTTCTGAGGTTGTATAAGGCTCTGGTCGGGCCACATTTGGAATATTGTGTGCAGTTTTGGGCCCCATATCTCAGGAAAGTTGTACTGGCCCTGGAACGGGTTCAGAGGAGGTTCACGAGAATGGTCCTAGGAATGAAAAGCTTAACATAGGAGGAACATTTGAAGACTCTGGGTCTATACTCGATGAAGTTTAGAAGGATGAGGGGGAATCTAATTGAAACTTACAGAATACTGAATGGCCTGGACAGACTGGATGTTGGGAAAATATTTCCATTGGTAGGAGAGACTAGGATCCGAGGGCACAGCCTTAGAGTAAAGGGAAGACCTTTTAGAACGGAGATAAGGAGAAACTTCTTCAGCCAGAGAGTGGTGAATCTATGGAATTCGGTGCTACAGAAGGCTGTGGAGGCCAGGTCATTGAGTATATTTAAGACGGAGATAGACAGGTTCTTAATTGTCAAGGGATCAAGGATTACAGGGAAAAAGGGGGAGAATAGGGTTGAGAAACTTATCAGCCATGATTGAATGGCAGAGCAGACTCGATGGGCCGAATGGCCTAACTTCTGCTCCTATGTGTTATGGTCTTAAACTAGTTGAAGCTAACAAGCTCCAAAAGAATGTACAACCTGGTCAGGGGTTGATTGAGAAGAACAAGCCAGATCTCTTCAAAGAATTTACTTGTGTTACTAAGGTTTACATATCTGTGCCAGGAGGAGCAGGTAAAGGAGTTTAAATTTTAAGTGATCCGGGAGCAAGTCAGTCTTTGGTGAAAGATTCAGAGATATGTAATTCAGAAGGTATACCGACAGAAAAGGTTGTAATATGTGGAATTCATGGTGAAAAGAGCAATGTTTCATTATATAAAGTGAGGTTGGAGAATTTTGGTGAAAAGTAGTGCTAAGAATAATAGAGAAATTCTCTGTTCTGGAAATAGTTTATCCTAGTTAATATTGCTGGATCACAGGTAGGAGTGACACCTACTTTGGTTGAAAAGCCATTGGAAAGTCAGACAACTTGGGTGTAACAGAAAGTATATCCTGGGATTTTTCCTGACTGTGTGGTAACAAGGTCACAAGGCCACAGGTTGAAACAGGATGACAAATCAAGGAATAAAGATCAGGAAGTTTAACTTCAATCATCAGAAACTATGTTTGATCAAATGGTTGGGGGAAAAAAGAACAGATGGAGGACAAAGTGGATATTTTTAGTTCAGAGAACAGAGAAAGATGAAGCATACATAGAAAAATCTGAGTGTATCCCAGAATGTTGCTATCTTAAAAATGAAACCTTGATAGGGAAGTGGAGACAATCACATACACAGGCGGATGAAAAAATGAGCAGAAGTTCATCAAGTTGTATTACTGGTGGGTCATTCCTGGTGTTGCGGGTTGCACATGAATTACCATTAGGAGGTCATTTGGGAGTAAGGAAAACGCAAATCAAAATACAAAAACATTTTTATTAGCCTGGACTGTATAAAGATGTGGTTGCACTTTGCCAGATATGTCATATGTGTCAGGTAATAGGAAAACCTCAGGCACTGATGGACTCAGCGTTCTTAATACCCTTTCTCACATTTTGAGGATCCTTTCACAAGGGTGTTAATTGATTGCATAGGACCCCTACCTAGAACAAAAAGTAGGAATTGGTATTTGTTGACCACAATGGACATGTCCACTACATTTCCAGAAGCCATTCCATTATACAGCATTCCAGCAAACGATTGTAGAAGAGTGACTCAAATGTCTTACTATAATGGACTACCCGCAAGAGATACGATCAGATCAAGAGTCATGTTTTACATCAAAGTTATTCAAGGAAGTTACGGACAGCTTAGGAATAAAACAATTCAAATTTGTCTGCACCATCCAGAACCGCATGGAGCATTAGAACAGTGGCGTCAAACTTTAAAGACCATATTTAAGACTTATAATCAAGATGATCCAGAGCATTGGGATAAAGGAATTCCATTTGTTCTTTTTGCAATTAGGGATGCAGTTGATGAATCAACTAAATTCAGTCCATTTGAATTAGCTTTTGGACATGAGGTAAGAGACCACTAAAATTAATTAAGGAAAAATTGGTAAGTCAGAGTTCACATGCCACATATTTGGGCTATATGTCACATTTTAGGGAAAGGTTAAGTAGATTAGGTGAGTTGGCTAGACAGCATTTGTAAGTAACACAGCATATAATGAAACAGGTAGCAGACAAGAAATCAAAAATTTGTAATTTTGCTTGTGGAGATAAAGTATTAATGTTATTCCCAGTGGTAGGTAAACCTTTAAAGTCAAGGTTTAGTGGGCCTTATCAAATTGAAAGGAAATTGAGTGAGGTGAATTATTTGATAAGGATGCCAGATAGAAAGAAAATTCACAGTATGCCATGTGAATATGCTCAAAAGGTATTTTGATGGAAAAGGAAAGCGAAATGAGAATGTGTTACTGATTGCAGCACAGAGCAAAGAACCATGTTCAGATAATTCTAAATTGGACAATGAGGAATGACATAAATTATTAAATTACCTTCCAGAGGAAAATCGAAATGACCTGAAAGAGTTATTACAATCACATGCGGAGAAACGTGGGAATATGCTGGGAAGTGCTGATCTGATTACACATGATGTACACATAGGGAATGCTGTTCCAGTTGAGCAGCATCCTTATAAACTTAGTCCTGTAAAGTTGGCACAGGTTCAAAAAGCAATTGAAAGCATGCTCAGCTGACATAATCAAAGTGAATTGCAGTGAATGGAGCTCACCATAGTGATGGTGCCAAAACCAGATGGTACCTTATAATTATGTTTGTATGTTTGGACTATCACAAAGTCAATGGAGTTACAAAATCTGCTGTTTTTTTTTTTAAAAAATTGATTCATGGGATGAGGACATCGCTGTATAGGCCAGCATTTATTGTCCATCCCTAATTGCCCATAGAGCAGTTAAGAGTCAACCACATTGTGGTGAGTCTGGAGTTACATGTAGACCAGACTAGGTAAGGATGGCACATTTCCTTCCCTGAAGGACATTAGTGAGCCAAATGGGTTTCTCCAACAATTAACAGTGGATCATGGCCATCATTAGCCTTTTAAGTCCAGATACTTTTTATTGAATTCAAATTCCACCATCTGCCATGGTGGGACTCGAGCCTGGGTCCCCACAAAGTTACCTGGGTCTCTGAATTAATGATCTAGCAATAATACCATTCGGCCATTCCCTCCCCCATATCCTGTGGAATTCATATCCTATTCCATGTTTGGAAGATTGTATTGAGAAGCTGGGACAAGCAACTTGTATTTCTACGTTGGACTTACTCAGAGGATACGGGCAGGTACCTTTATCCAAAAGAGCAAAGGAAATTTCAGCTTGTGTGACACTGAATGGATTGTACCAGTTTAAAGTCACGCCGTTTGGTATGAAGAATGCACCAGCCACATTTCAAAAATTAACCAATGATGTCATTTCGGGATTACCCAATTATGTGATATATATAGATGACCTAGTGATTTTTAGTTACACGTGGAAGGAATATTTGGAGCATCTATTGGAATTGTTCAGTTGACTTCAGGAGGCAGACTTGGTGATCAACCCGGCTAAGAGTGAGTTCGCAAAAGCCCAAGTCATGTTCCTGGGCCCATTGGACATGGCCCCATGGGATGTAGGAAACAAAGACTATTGGGAGTTTCCCATACCATCAGAGAGGGAAGTACTATCATTCCTGGGAGAGTGATTTTTATCAGAAGTTCATACTGAATTTTAGAAGAAGTGCAGAAAATTTTAGTGAACAGAAGACTGTCAGAAGGCGTTTGACAATCTGAAAGCTGTGTTAATCGCTGCTCCAGTGTTAGTCACACCTAACTATGCATAACCATTCAAGGTGGTTATCGATGCAAGTGATTTGGGTGTTGTACTCTTGCAAGACGACGAGAAGCTAGAAAGATCTATTGGGTATTTTTCCAAAAAGCCGAATATTCATCAATAGAAATATTCACAATTGAGAAGGAGACCTTGAATTTGGTGTTAACTTTGCATCGTTTCAACATTTTTTGTTGCCAGGAATGTGTCTGAGATAATTGTATATACTGATCATAACCACTTAAAGCTTTTGGAAAAATTTAAGGACAAAAATTCTGGACTACTTAGATGGAAATTATGCGCGTAGCAGGACGAGATAACATAATTGCTACTGTGATGAAGAAAGATGAAGGTGTTCAGTGGTAGAAGAAACTAATTCATATGCACTGTAATATTGAATGTTTGCATGCTTGGAGTCAACATGATGTATATATATTGTTGTGTTCTAATAGCGTATGGCTAATGGTACTTAAAAATGAAGCCATCCTTGCATATTGATGATAACAAGGTGTAGAGCTGGATGAACACTGCAGGCCAAGCAGCATCAGAGGAGCAGGAAGGCTGACGTTTCGGGC